TAAAGCTCTCCTTAAAGCAGAACCTCTAAATGGTCTGATAAACGATCCGAAAGAACGAGAAATGAATTTGGTTATTTGGGAAAGTCCAGAATTTATAAAATGCGAATGTCTCCCTAATGATGATTTAGTCATGGTTACAGATACAGATGTATATATCTGGACATTTAATACAGAAAGAATTCAATTAAATTATTATTATTCAGAAATAGAAGGTAGACTAAGTATTCTTGATGAAGTAACATTTACCGATAGTTTTCTCCCATCACCATATATTACGTCAGTTATTCACAGGAGAGGTTATAGTTTTGGTATTCAAGAGCATTTTAAAGAACTATTAGAAACGTATACTAAAGAAGAATTTTATTTAACAATCTATGGATATGATGTTATGAATGCAATTGTTGAGTTTCGAGATTACAAATTAGCGGAAAATTTCTGCACAAGTTGTATTAAGTTAAATTTCAAAAACGAAAAAGATCCGACACCTAATATCCAATTATTTGGTATAATTTCTCAATTCATTTCAGAATTAACAGAAGAAAATTCGATATTCGTGGAAGGCTTTATATCAGAAATTTCATATTTTATTGCTATTGATGAATACTATTTAACACAAACTTTAGCAAAAGTAACTAGTGTGCAACACCTTGATTCTCTCGGTGTTCATAATCAACTAACTACATTATCTAATGTAGATATTTTCATGAGAAAATTTTTTTCAAATTTTGGCACTTATTTGAATCAGTTATTTGAAACTCGTCTTATAAATATTAAAAAGTTCTACGATAAACATTTTATAGACAATAAAATCCCTGTAATCTTAACATTCCCTTTACCAAAATATGTAGATTATCCTAAAGAATATAATTTTTGCCAAGAATTAATAAGACCGAAACCTAGTGTTTTTGTCGAAACAATTAATTCAGGGCTTTATAAGACCTGGAATGGCGAAGCACTCATCAATTTTAAATGGAATACTTTTGGTAGAAAATATTATTATATAATCTGGGCAATATACACAGTTTTTCTTTGTAGTTTTACGATCGTAGCAACTTTATATAGTAAAATGTCTTGGGGCACTCAGGAAGTTTTCTTATTTATTGCTATTATTCTCGGATTTTGGCATTTCTTTTTTGAAATTCGACAATTTATATATTCGCCACTAGAATATTTCACAACCGCTTGGAATTATTTTGGTAATATTTTGTTTATTTAAATAATTAATTTATTTATACAGTTTAACGATTTTTAAGTTCATTTATTTTTTTTTCTATTCAAGATCTTTGTGCCATATTATTTTCTACAATAACATCAATTATATGGTTACAAAATGGCAGTGCTCCATCCTGGGCTATTACCTATTCAACACTATTTCTTGAATTAAAATTTGTTCTTTATTTTAGAGCTACATCATTCGTTGGGGTTTATTTTGCTACAATTATTGGAGTTGCAGAAAGTGCCTTTTCTTTTTTGGTGTTATTGGGATTTATCTTATTTGCATTTGCCCACTCTTTACATCTTTTATTGCGACCTGAAACTATGGTGTCTCTAGATTATCCAAGTTATTCATCTGATCCAAATGATCCTTGGAATTTGGCTACAACATATAATTCAATAACTTCAAATAATACTATTGAAACAAGTGCATCACTTATTGAACCACCAGATTCAAATACAAATATGTTTATGTGGTTTGATTCATCGATTTTGGCAGTTTATATAATGCTTACAGGTAAGTTATTTATATATATATATATAACTTATACAATTTGAGTAAATTAATATAATAATTTAATATAGGCGATACGACCCCCCTTTCATCTTGGGTTTTACGTGACAATTATCCATTAATTATAATAATGGTTTTATTTTCATTTTTCACGACCGTTTATTTAATGAACCTGTTTATCACATTACTTGGTAATGCAATTGATGAAACGACCAACAAAGAATCTTTTTTAACATTAAGAGCAGAGGTACGTATTATCAACTACCCCAAGAACACCTCTAAAAATCAGCCAATCAGATTTCGAGATCAGGTGTAACGTGAAATCAAAACAAT